GTCCTTGGAGAGGGACATCATGTTTGGGAGAGTGGAGGGATGGCGCAGGAGAGGAAGACCCTTGATGAGATGGATCGATTCTGTGACTGGAGTGGTGGGAATGAGTGTGTTTAAGACGGCGAGGTTGGCACAGGATAGAACGGTGTTTAGGGCTCTTGTACATAGGGTTGCTATGAGTCGCAAGTGACTCAATGGTACAAAACACAACAACAAAAATAACATGTTAGTTTACTTTCCACAGCAAATAGGTTTTTATATCTTAATTCAAAACTTACTGTCACTGAGTTGGAATCAATTCACAGGTGACTTCCCCAGGAAGTTTTTTAGAGGCTTTAAATCACATACGAATAAACTGCTTCTTTCTCTGTAGGAGTCCCTATGGATATAAATAACTGGCGAGGTACCTATAATTGCTATATAAACACTGCAGTTCCCTACAGACTAGGCTACCAGAACTCCGTTACACCTTTAAAGTTTATATTTTATGTTAAAAAAAATTAATTCGAACGCACATATCAATAAATGTGCAACAATGTAAAAATTAAAATAAAATGGTATAAACAACCACAATCTCTAACAAAATGGGTATCTTTCATGAACTTGATTATATAAATACTGTTAAGTGGACAATTTAAAATACTTTCATAATTTTAAAGAATAGCTTATTTCATGACATCATTTAGAAACATTCTTGCAAAACAACTATGAGATATCATCTCACTGCAGTAAGAATAGCAAAATTTAACAGAGCAGCAAACAATAAATGTTGCAGAGGTTGTAAAGAAATGCGAACCCTTATTCACTGTTGGTGGGAGTGGAGAATGGTGCAACCACTATGGAAGGCAGTATGGTGCTCTCAAAAAGTTGCAAATAGCAATAACATTTGACCTAGCAATAATTCCATTCCTGGTAATATAACGTAAAGAAACAGTAACTGCCACCCAAGCAGATATATGCCCACCTATGTTTATTGCTGCTTTGTTCACAATAGCAAAGAGCTGGAAACAAACCAAGTGCCCATCAACAAATGAATGGATAGAGAAGTTATGGCATATTCACACAATGGAATATTATGCAGCACTGAAAAACAAAGAAATATTATACAAAATGGGTGACCATAGAGGACATTATGCTGAGTGAAATATCTCAGTGACAAAAAGACAAATACTGCATAATGCCACTGCTGTAAAGTGGGACTGACATGGGGGTTAGGGGGAACTAAGAAAAGAGGGGATAAATAATGTACACAGTATTGAAACAGATGAGAGAGAGAACTATTTAAAAGGAATATATGATTAGGTATTATTGGCATGGCAAGAGTCCAGAATAAGAGCTTCATAGTAACATGGTCTTGGGAGCAAAGGGTGAACAGGGAAGACAGTATAACAACGAAATAACTTTTTTCCCCAAGAAAAAAGCAAAGGGGGGGAGGGGGGCGCCAGGGAGGAAAATGTGCAACAAAGAATGAATAAAAATCCAAGTTCTTTATAAACTTTCATTAAAATCTCAATAAATAAAATTATGATTCACATGTGAATAATGACCATTCAATTAGAAAAAAAAGAAAGCAAGAAACATCTTGTACTTTGCAATCAATAAAAGACAGCCGATGATTTGCATGCAGCTTCATTAAAAAGCACTGTTTGCCTATGGGAAAGAAAAATACCTTCAATGTGTTCTCTTATGAAAGGATCATCCATTATGTTGCTGTGGTTTGTTTTCAGAATCTTCTCAAATTCAGTGATGTCATTATTCTGATAGGCACTAACAGAAAAAAAAACCCAAAACAAATCAGATAATCAAAAGAACTTATCTCTCAATTTTCATATGTAAAACCAAATTATTTTTCTAACTTATAGCAAGAAAGAATGGAAATCAGAGTTAAGCACATACACATTCTTCTGCAAATGCATTTCTTATTTACGTTTTGTTATTTTAAAGATTGAATAAATAATTTTGTAGTTATATACCATACTTAATACTGCTAATTAAAATACTCTGAAAAGATATATGAACAACTGATTAACTATTTAATCTTTGAGGTTTCAAATGAAATTGTGCATTTAATTCCTAATTATTCTTAAAGAAAGAAAGCAGGTTCATGCATACTGCTAAACAGATGAGCCTGGCCTTATTCTTCCAATACAGTATATTCTCTCTACAGGGTACTCAGAAAACGTAGCTTCCTAATTTTCCTCTTCTAGAAAGTTACCAGCAACTCTCAAAATTTTTAAATATGATTACTTGATGCTTAAACTTCTCTAGCCCCAAAATTCCACTGAGCTGAACAGTGGAAAACATCAGTGGCAGAATATTAGTTCTAAATGAGGCACACACAAAGTAGAGAGTAAGGGAATTCCCTTCTGCAGAATACCAAGGGCTGATTTATGTTCACAGTTCTCAGACGTTTATAAAACGTACTTCTGAAATAAATTCTGTAACACACTACTGGGATTTGCTAAAGGTGCTGAGAAGGAAGAGGCCAACCTTCTGGATATGGCACCACTGTCTGCTTTATATGTGAGACATAGCATCAGCCACTCTGCACGCCCTCTGCTGTGCTTCCATCTGTTGGGTCGCAATATAACTTCATGTTAGGGGCAGAAGATTCAAGAGCTTCAACAGGAATTACTTTCCTCTAGTCTGCTGGCAACTGACTAGGGAGATAAAATTAGGAAGCATTATTTTCTTACCTATCTCAAATATATTTCTGTAATTTACAGTAGGAAGACAACTAGTGAAAACATTAACAGACATATTTTGGTTAGACACATTTTTAACTAAGATATCTTTAGTTTTTTTTTTCTTTAAATCTTAAAGTTATGGGACAACCCTTGCATGCACCCACTTGTTTGGGTCAAAATTCCTCATTAAAATAAACCTGAGTTCCAATATAAAGGTTTTACTGAAGTAATTTTAAGATACACTATATCTATAAATATGCCTACTACCTTTATTTTTTTACTGTAGATTCTTCTCCCTCCCTCTCCCTGTCCACCCTACAATGCACCCCTTGTTTCATATTATTGTCATACATACAATGTCTAATAATAAACTTCTTTGGACAGTTCTTCTCATCTGTTCTAAAGCAGTGTTCATTATCTATCCACTCTTTCTCCATTCTCTCCTCAACTCCATGTCTGTTCAATTTTATAACAATGATGTTATGCAGTGTTTGTCCTTTTGTGACTAAGATATTTCACTCAGCATAATGTCCTCCAGGCTCCCTCATGCTGTGTAATGATTTATGAGTTCACTGTTTTTCAATGCCATGTGAATTCCACTGTGTAAATGAATCACAGTGTCATCCATCTGTTTGTTGATGGGCTGCCCATTACTTTTTCTTTTTTTTTGTTGTTGTTGTGCGCTGTTGAATTGGATCTGACAGGCACATCAAATCAGATTTGACTGGCACAGAAGGAGATTGTCTCTCCTTCTCTAGCGGAACATCTGGTGGATTCAAACCCCATGCCTTAGGGATTGCAGTGCTGCTTCTTGCCACTAGGCCACCAGAGCGCCATGCCCATTACTTTTAATGTTTTGGTACTCAGTCCATGATTTCATTTCAGCGTATTTGATCCAATTTAATTAGCTAGAGCATTAACATAAAGGATAAAATTTTTCCTCAGTATTTCTTTAAGGTATATTGTTAAACTAAACCATTCTTTAGCAATTTAAGTTTATAAACAATTATAAATAGCATTAATTTCTAACTCATCTTTTAATGTGATCAAATGTAGATGCAATAAACAGTATGAAATGAAGATGGAGAAGTCTCCTCTCATAATTAAAATCAATTTAAAAATAAATAATAAAACAGAATAAAAATAGATGCACTGCACGAGAAATGATGAGTAAACTCCTCCTATGCAATTTACTGCCTCTGACAACCAACTGGATGGTCAGCTATGAGTTGTTTCCAACTTGATAGCAAACAGTAATAGTTTATGGACCCAAATACCCAAACCCAAATGAAGTGAAAAATACATAAAATTTTGTTACTGTGGCAACGTACAATTTCTATCTAATCAACTCAAGATCTTAGCGAATAACATTTTAAATTTTTTTAAAGATTTTATTCTTTTTTGTGTGTGTACTGCCAAATTAGATCTGACTGGTACAGGAGGAAATTGCCCTTCCTTCTCCAGCAGAGCATCTGGTAGAGAAAATCTTTTTAAAGCTATACTTAAGGTCTTCTTTTTAAAACACCCCAATACTTATAAGTCATAGCCAAATTAAAAAATCACAGATAAATTTATTATGGGCACTTTCTCAGACATTAATTATCATTATTTACATTTTCCTTGATTAAAATTTTCAACCAATTCATTTGAGTTTCTCATCAATTTGACCTCTTTCCCTCTAATTAAGAAAATCAGAATAAATATTTAAAAATTATTTCCACCTTGCCACTGAGAAAGTATATAATAAAAAATTTTGTTAATCAAATAATCTTGAAATACAGAAAATTTTTGGTTTATATGGATCAATTAATAATTCTTTTTTGGATTATGACAAGCAGAGGGCAAAAACATGAAATAATGCTTCAAAATAGCTAATGGATGAATTTAATGCACTCACACAAAAGTGCCACATACTTTGTAAAATCTTGTAATTAAGACATATAACAAAATAAATGTCAAAAAGCAAAATTTCACAAACTTTACAGTATTTCAAAACCAAGATATAAAAGAGCAAATGTTGAGTCCTGCTTGGATTTTGAGAAATTCTCTCTTTATGAAAGGAAATGTATTGCAAATAAAATATAAAATCTTACCTTACTAAGTTTGTCATTGCTAAAATTTCTGGATCATTTTTATACGGCTTGGCCTAAATGTAGTTTAAAAAAAAAAAGACAAAAAAAGAGTAACTATGTACTGGTACAAAAAATAAATTTATTTCTGTAAGAAAGCTTAAGAGAAAACTGACTAACAAAGTATACACATACCTCCTGTGAGTCAAATGGATTTATTCCCGATTTCATTAGCATATTTGCCAAAACCAAATATTTTAGGCAAGTGGTTCGTCTGGGACTTCCAGATTCATCATAATTCTTGAAGGCTTCAAAAAAATCAGTATGTGCCTTTTCAAATTCACCTTCTCGCAAGTGCATTTTACCACCACATTCTATAAAAAAATAAAGGTAAATGTAGAGTTTTGTACTTAATATAAGATAGACCACTCTATAAAGATTAAATGAAAATTATTTTAGTGGTTTACTGTGTTCTAATTCTATAATGGAATAGTTATGGTTACAGGGTACATATTTCAATTAAGTTTCTTCACTGACATTTAACAAAAAGCTTATCTTTAAAAAATGAAAAAAATTTATGAATGGAAAACAAATTTGCTTTGTACACTTTATCTCAAGTAAGAACATAAAATAACATGACTAAAATGTTATTTGTAAATCTTTAAGCTCAGATAAAGTAGAAAAACAATTTTCTACATGCAATTAAAGAATACAGATGCTGATAAAGTTACTATTGTGATCTTTGCTGATGTCTATTTTATAAGTCAAAGTCACTGACATTAAAACTTTATCAATTATTTTCAATAGTCATTAACTCATATGCAATGACACCATACTATTTTCCTGCTTCACCGTCTGCCCTCTCCAAACCAAACTTGCCTCTGATGACTCCCATGATCAGTGGGTGGGGGATGGCAGATTTTATATGAAGAGACTGCTCATAGAGTGCTTTAAGTTTTTTGTTATTTTTCTGTGCTGTATACATTTGAATTTCCAAAGCATATATTTCTAATAACTGTGTACCCTTTTTCAGGTCATCTTCTCCATCGTCAGTCTAGGAAAGCAAATAACTATGGTCAAGACAGACATTACTGACAACTGTATTTAAACAAGCACACAGGCAGAGAGTTAACTTATAGACTATTCTGTTATAATAGTTCATTTGAAGTAAATAGAAAGGAAATGAGAAAAAAAAATTCCACTGAGAAAGTATTTTAAGTTGATCCAATAAAATTTATTGACCCCCAATAAAAATGAGCTAATATTTCAATTGTTAGACCCCAGGAAATTTACTCTTACAAGGCATCTAGTTTCTGGCTAAGGAAAGTTAGCAGAGGTTATTCTGATGATGTATAAAATGCAGTAACAATTAATTCTTTATGACCTCTAGATTATAAAAATATGTATAATTTTCCTTTCTATGTTTTTCATGTCAGACAGGTAATGTGCTGACGTCGTAACAAGAGCTGATAGACACGTCATACAAAAGCATAAACACCCAATCATTACAATTATGAATTGAAAAAAGATCAACATTTATTCTTTTGAAAAGCATTTTCTGCTGTCATCTGTTTGCTGAACAGTGGATTTACTTTTGCAGAACTTAAGCTAAAATTAAAAAAGTATCAGCCAAAATTTAGTGTTTAAGATTTCTGATTTAATTTATTACCAAGTCATTATCAGAGTAATATTTAGTATATGGAAACAATTTTATATCCAGATTATTGCGCATCTCTATCTAAACATAAATATTTCAAAATACTAGGTACTATGTTGTTATATGCAATATACTACAACTCATAGAGACCCTTTGAACAACCACTCTGAATCTACCAACCTCACCATCTCTGACACAACCTGACTCCACTGACACAGTCACTGTGTCAACCCGTCTTATCCACGGTCTTTCTCTCCTGCGATGACCCTCTATCATTTCAGGCATGGTGTCTTTCTCCTGACAACATGACTAAAGTAAGTGAGATAGAGTTTCAAAATCTTTGCCTCTAAGGAGCAACCTAATTTCATTCTTTCCATTGTAGGTACTGTAATGCTATTTATAATCAATTACCATTTTATATTCTAAACAAATCAAGTTAAACTTTTCCAGAAAGTATATCACATTCTTTAAGCTCACAATCAACTACCCTCCTCCGTTCAGCTCCACTTTAAGTAGAACTGAACCCATATGCTTATAAATTCAGACTACTCATTGCCATCAAGTTGGAACGAACTCATAGCTGATGCCCCCCACCCCAGCTTTCTGAGATTGCACCCTGCAGAGGAGACTGCTCATCTTTCTCCTGTGTAGCTGCTGGTGGGTTCAAAGCACCACAGAAGCATGACCTCTGGGTTAGGAGTACAACTACATCACTAAACATAAGAAGGAATAAGTAGTTATTAAAGAATTTATAGCTATGCTTTACAAAGTAAACCATTAAATTAGTATTTGTAGTTTATTAGATTATAATGATTTTCCTGATCAACATTTTCCCCTATTCATAGAAATGACACATATGTAGTACAGGTCTGGAAGAGTATAGATATGTAATAATATTGCAACTACAATTTCAACCAATATAACTTATATTTGGTTCAGACAAAAATGTAAAAATCAAATTAGAGTTGTGCTGTCTAATCTATCTGATTATATAATTTCAATTACTTAAATTTAAAACTCAGTTTTCTGCCACACCAGTGACATTTTAAGTGTTTGAAAGTCATGAACAAACACAGAACAAATCCATAGTACAGTATTGCTAGAGGAATCACTTATTACAAATTATAGAGAACATCACTTCATCCTAAACATGTAAATATCCTTGCCAGATTTTTATAGGGCCTAAAACGAACTATGAACGGCTTATACTCCCTACGTGCTAAGAACTGGATTATTGGTACCTGTTCATTTCACAATGGATAAAGAGTCAAATTAGAATTAAAACAGGAAGAAAACACTCAGAAAAATTAGCATTCTTAATTTAAAACATGTTTTTGGAATGATGTCTGAACAAAAACACTCCTAAGTAGCATTTCCAATACAACTATTTCTTTATTAGGGAAAAAATAAGAAAAAAATAAAGGAATGCTACCTGGCAGGACTGATGTAACTGTCGTAAAATTTTCTGAAGTTTTCCATATTCCTCACGTTCTAAATATAATTTGCCAAGCTGTAAAAAAGTAAACTCATTAAACTCAAGAGACTTTAAAAAGAGAAGGTGTACATCTTTTAGGAGTTTATTTTATTAAAAAACTCCTACTCATTCTTTCAAAGAAAAAAAAAAGAGTAAGCAACTGGAATTGTTACCTTTGTGTTTGTCTTAAACCACAGTCTATCATTCTTAGCATCTTTCAAAGCTTCCAGAGTTGTTTCATAGAATTCCTGCAGTAAATCCATCTGACATAAAAAATCAGAATTCTATAATTGTAAACAGCAAATTTGTACCTGTTAATGAAGTTAATTTGAGCAAACTAAAAGTGCATCTTTGAACTTTAATACACATATACGATACACTATCTAATGTCTTACTGAATCTCTTCTACAGCCCACAAAATTAACAAAAGACTCAGTTTACAAGAGAAGAGCCCATATCTTTTTTCCATATCTGTTTTTTAATTTTAAAAATAAACTCAAGAAATACAAATCATAGGACTATATAAATTCTAAGACCACCGTTATAATTTGTTATATATCTTGTTTTTGTTATATATATTGCTTTCATTTGTATGAAAAGTAGTTGTCTGTCATTAACAGTGTTTATTCATTCAGCCTTGATTCAATAGATGTGGAAAATCCTAAGCAAACTGCTAAAAACAGAAAAGGGATTAGTTCCTTTCCTCAAAATTCTTCCACAAATATAACTAATCAGTTAATTTTGCCATGAAACTTTAAAGGTGCTAGTAAAACTCTGACGTTTAGCAAACGGGAAGTAGAGTACAATTTAAACTATATCACTATCAGTTTGCCAATCTGAATGATATTTTTTCATGGAAATCAATTACCTGTTTTTCATTATATGACTATTCCTAGACTCTAAACTCTGGCTCTAGTCTTGCTTGACTATCATATTCCATAAATCTCTGACAGCAAGAAAGTTTGACATTTCCAGGAAAAAGCTGCTTATTTGTTGAAGGCTGATGATGACATGACACAGTGACCAAGTCCTGTGATACCCACTCATTATCTATTCTTATTTTCAAAAAGTAAAAAGCTGACACAAAATAACTGGTAGAAGCAGCAATCCTTAAATTTTAAAGTAACTTACCTTTTCTTCCCCAAAAACATTTATAAATAGTACACCAAGAATGTGTTTTCATGACATGTATAGCACATCTTGTATTTTTTTAAAAAAGCTTCCATGATATACAACTTAGTGTTTTAAAAGAACATATAAATTTACCTTTCTTGATCTCTCTCTCTCTATATATATAATATAAACTCTTTAATGACTAAAATGATATTAGAATATAAAGAGGCTGACAATATTATCTTGTTTTTAGAAGTCTAAAAAGTACTAAATGTTCACAAAATACTAAATGATACAGAGAATACTTAATACTTATACAAATCCAGAAGAATGGAAGCATTATCCATTTCAGTGGCAATCTTTCAAACTAATTCTTTCTATGGTCAACCATTCATCTACTTATCCATTCTTTCCAGAAACATTTATCGAGTACCTGAATGAGTAAAGAACCCTGGTACTGGAGTGAGTTATGTTGTTATTACTAACTTAAAGGATAGTAGTGTGAATCCACCAGGAGAAAAAGGTGGCAGTCTGATCTCATTAAGATAAACCAATGTTCACATAAGTGTTATTCACCATTACAAGAACAGGGAAGCAGCCCAAATATCCAACCACAATTGAATGGATTGAGAAACTATGGTATGTTCACACAATGGAATACAGCATGCCGGAGCAATGGTTTTGTAAATCACTATCTAACTTGAGATGAACTGGGGAATAATCTGCTGAGTGAATTAACTCAGTTCCATAAGGATAAATACTGTATAAAACCATTACTGTAGAATGAGTATGAGCATCAGGGTAGGGGTAGAAGAGAGAGGATGGGCAGGGGGCTGGAGGTTGGTTAAACATCGGGGTGTATAATTTGTTGGGTGGAGGGAGGGGGGAAAGAAGGAAAGGGGAAAGATCTGGTGTGACAAACACGGTATATGAACTTTGTAAATAAACCAGTATTTAAAAAATAAAATTATAGTCTCAGAAACCCAATGGAAGGTAAGTGGGAACAAATTCAATGACAGGAGGTTCTGTTTGGTTTCTAAGTGGTAACTAGAAATTCTTGGCCTTAAAGCTATATATATATCTAATCATATTTATGGACAAATAACTTGATTAAAAGTGCTTAAGTATTTTAAATGCTCAGGATCTATTGCTAAAAAGATGATGGAGTTGATTAAAAGTTAACTGTGACAATAGTAGTTAAAAATAGAATACAAGCCTGCTAAAATTGTTTGCAGGTTATTTCAGTACCTATAGATATTATTTAAAGACACTACCTGGAGTTATTGCTTTTAAGTATTACATAATCAACAGTAAAACAATAGAAATTTTTTTAAAAAATTATTTTATTAATTTTTGTGCATGTACTGTCAAATCAGATCTGATTGGTACAGGAGGAGATTGTCCCTCCTTCTCCAGCAGAGCATCTTGCCACTAGGCTACCAGAGCTCCCTTAAGAGGAAATATTTTTAAAAACACAATGAACCTCTAGGCCTTTGGTTTGTTAGTTTGTTGGTTTTTTTCACAGTAAATACAGAAATACAACCAGTAAGGTTTTATTTTTTAAAATTAATTTTAATGAAAGTTTACAAAGACTTAGGGTTTCCAGTCATTCATTGTTGCACTTTTCTCCCTACCCACCCCCTCCCCTCAATTCACTCCCTTCCCTAAAAAGAAAAACTCTTTCAAAGCCTTCAATATAAATAATAAACTCACTGATAAACAACAAGAGAGAAATGAATCTAACCTGTTTAGAAGTGGAAATATAATCAAGAATAGAATTAATGGATTTTTCAGAATAATTTCTTGTAACTGCACTCCGAATATAGGTCAATAGTTGTTTATACCTGTTCATCATTTCTGGAAAGTTTGTCTAGGAGGAAAAAAAAAATTAGAATGTTATAAGAAATGCACTATTACACCCATTTATGTAGTAAAATACATACATAAGTATTATAGTATATAGAGTCATACACCACATAGTATCTGCTCAGGCAGCATTTGACCACATGTACCTCTGTGGCCCCAACTTTAATAAAGCCTATTACAGGAAAAATTTGCCATAACTACAAATAGGTTCTACCTTGTGATAGTCATCAAAATATTATTACTGTATGATGTTAAAGACATTTTTACATACTTGAAAAGATTTCTTTAATGTTTTTAAGCATGTTGTTTTGTCTGTATGCCATTCAAGTCAGAACTAACTCACAGTTAACCTTCCAATGGGTTTCCCGAGGCAGTAAAAGGCATGGGAAGAGACTGCTCATCCTTCTCTTGCAAAGCAGGTGGTGCATTCATTCAACTCATGCATCTTGGAGGTAGCAACACAGTCTCTTACCACTAGGCCACCAGAACACGTATTATCTTCTATTTATTAATACAAACATTTTATGAACTGATATGAACTACTTATGCACATTATGAAACTTAAAGATAGTTGATTTAGGGGTGGAATACATTAGTAGTCAAGGGATATTCATATTTCAGTTTATAAAATATGAAGGCCACAAAATGCTCAAATTATGCAACATCACATTTCCTGAAAATAACATGGGCATTAAGTGACACATGACCATCCTCTTACATAACTGAAAAATTAAAACTTATGTTGTTGTTATGTGCCATCGAGAGGCTTGCAACTCAAGAACTACCCTATGTACAAGAGCCCTAAACCCTGCTCCATCGTGTGCCAACTTCACTGCTTCTGATATGCCAACTCCCATTACCCTAATCACTAAATAATCGATTCATTTTATCAAGGGTCTTCCTCTCTTGTGCTGTCCCTCTATCCTCCCAAACATGATGTCCCTCTCATGACAGCCTCCCAAACATGACTGCTCTGGTCCCTCCTTATGTCAGACAAAGCTTCGGAATCAATGCCTCAAGGAGCAGCCCAGTTTCACCCTCTCCAGAACAAACCTGTTTGTTTTCCTAGCAGTCCATGGTATATTTAACGCTCTTCTCCAGTACCACAGTTCAAAGGCATCAATTATTTTTCTATTCATTCCTAGTCACTGTCCAGCTCTCTGGCGCACCTTAGTCTCCAGCCTGACATTGCTCTTCAGTACTCTGGCGAGATCCCTGACAGCTGACTTTCCCAATGTAATTCGTCTCTTGAGTTTCTGGCTGCTGGTACCAAGAGTACTGATTGTGGAGCTAAGCAATCTAAAACTTAACAATCTTAATCTCTTCACCATCCATTATGATGCTGCCAATTGGCCCAGTGGTAAGAAATCTTTGTTTTCTTAATGCTGAGCTTCAATCCATGGAAAGAAATACACAACAGGAGCACAAATACATTTTTTATGATAAATTTAAAATGACCAGATTATTCAGACAGATGTATGAACTCAACTTTTGCAGTCTTAAAAAAGTCTACAAATTCTAAGGCGCTTGTTGGCATTAATTGTAGCATGTTGCTAACCACACATCTCTGATAGTTCAAATCTACCAGCAGCCCACAGGAAAGGATGGGTAGTCTCAGAAACCCAATGGAGGAGTGCTACGAATTGGAACTGACCTAACGGCAGTGAGTAAGAAAAACAAGAAAGTCTATCCGATACTCTTAAGGCCATAACACACTGACTAAACTAAACAGGACAAAGTACATAAAATTAAAAGTAATAAATATTAATATAAAGTCTAACTTTTCAAATGCCTTAAGAACTAAATACACAGATTTACCCTTTTTATTCTGGGAAATCTCCAGCATCTTTTCTCTTTAGCATGGCCGTTAAACATAAAAATTTGAAGTAGAAGCATCTTCTCAGGAGCAGGTACTCATCCTATTGTCAAGAAATGGTTCCCACCTAAGGTACTACTCTATGTTTTTAGGTGTCATCAAGTTGGTTCTTACCCAAGTAGGTTTTGTACCTCATACACAAAAGAATGAAATTATGTCCAATCCTGCACAATTCTCACAATCACTGCTGTATTTGCAACTACTGTTGCAGCCACTGGGCCAGTGCACCTCACTGAGGGTTCTTACTTTCACTAGTCCCCAACTAAGCAAAATGTCCTTCTCCAGGGACTGGTCTCTTCTGTTAATGTGTCCAAAGTATTTGTGATATAAGGATGCTTAGAGGCATCCTTGCATTTAAGGAGTGGTGTTCCAAGATAGATTTGTTTATACACTTGGCAATCCATGGTATAGTCAATATTCTTCACCAATAAAACAAAACAAAACAAAAAAATCAATTCTTCTTTATTCATTGTCCTGCTCTTGTTTTTGTAAGGCTGACGGGAAAAAAAAAAGTCAGTTCTTAACTACTGATTATACGGCAGCAGCTGATTGTGGATGCAAATACAATTAAATTCTTGACAATATCAATCTTTTATGATGATGCTTATTGGTCCAGTAGTGAAAATCAGTTTTCTTCACATAAAGATGTACAATCCATATTCAAAGTCATAGCCTTTGAGTTTCATCATGTCTTAAGTTGGTCCTCTTTGCTTTCAGAAAGCAAGGTTACATTACTTGCAGCTGCAGGTTACTAATGCTTATTCCAATCCTGATGCCACATTCTTCACAATCTAGCTTCTCAGATTTTATCACCGGTTCCTAATCATATGCTACCTTCTGAAATGGTTCAACAACCAATTCTTTATGAGTACCATCAGTGTGGTACCACATTCATATTCTTTCCATCTTCTTGATACCTGTGTAATTAATTTATTGTCTACACATATAGCAACTTGAGGATTACTTTTTTTTTGTCAGTTCTTTCAGCTTGAGAAAGGCTGAAGACATGCTTCCCTATAGGTTTTTTAATTCCAAGTTTTCACAGATCTTCTTACAATATTTTATCTTTTTTGAGCTGTCCTTTGAAATTTTCTGTTTGGATTTTATACTTCATTTATTTCTTTTGCTTTAGCTACTGAATGTTTAAGAGCAAGCTCCACAGTCTATTTTTATATTCTATCTATCTATAAATAAACGACTTTTTACTTTCTTACTGTATGATGTCCTTGACATCATCTCACAACCAGCTGGTCTTTGGTCAGTGTAGTCACTGCATCATATTTATTCTTGAGATATGACATAACTCATGTCTTTGAGTTGCAGATTTGCACAGGAGTGCTGAACATCCCATGGACCACCAAAAATACAAATAAGTCTTGGAGAAAGTACAGCCAGAGTATTTGCTAGAGGCAAGGACAACAAAGCTTCATTTCACATACTTTGGGTGTGTCCTTTGGATATTCTTTGGTGTATCATCTGGTCTCACATACTTTGAAGCAAGTCCTGGGAAAATGACATCATGTTGGGCAAGGTGGAGGGTCAAAGGAAGAAGGAAGCCCCTCAACGAGATGGTCTGACAGTGACTAACAATGGGCTCCAGTATATTAAGTTATGGGGATGGAACAGGTATGGCAGAGCTCTGATCCTTTGTTCACAGCATCACTATGAGTTGTAGTCAACTCCCAGCACCAAACAACATCTCTTACAGGATTATTTTTATTATTCATTATTATTCCAGGAAATATATTCCTGAAATAATAAAACACTACTAGAGGTCTTTTGTTCATACAGTCACTATGAGTTCTCTACTTCGTGTGTTTAACTTCAAGACTGTGCATCCACAGTTTTCATAATCTCCAATTGCTCTTAATATCCCATTTTTTAAAAAATTGTTATTTTAATGAACATTTACAGAAAAACTGGATATTCATGTATTGTTGTGCATTTTCTTCCCTACCTGTTGCAGTTCACTTTATTTTTTTTTTTCCTTGTGTGCTATCAAATCTGATCCGACTGGCACAGGAGATTGCACCTCCTTCTCCAGTGGAACAACTGGTCGATCTGAACTGTGAGCCTTCGGGATTGAAGCACAACTTCTTGCCACGAGGCCACCAGAGCTCCTTAATATCCCATTTTTAAAAAAATTAATTTTAATAGAAGTTTACAGAGACTTAGGGTTGGCTTCCAGTCATTCACTGTTGCACTTTAATCTCCCATTTTTGGGGGGTTCTATACTACTTATGTTTCGTTTTTACAGTGGCTTCTCATTTTACTTTTATACTTTTAATTGTGTGTTAAGTGAAAGTGTACAGAGCTGATTCCTCATTCAACCACTGTTTTACAACATTAACTACAACCCCACATAGTAACAGCACTCCTCTTACTCCCTCCTGGTGGTTCTTGCTTCCGTGTGTCCTTTTAGACATTCCCTAAATTTTTTATAATTCATAAAAGTATATGTATTAAAAACTACTTCTGTGTATAAGCTTGTAAACTTAGGAGATTGAGGTAGAGGAGGCAGCACCTTATCAGTAAATTGGAAAATCCAAGATCCAAGTGACAAAGTACATCTTGTGGTAGGATCATTATGGATATACAACTACATGGACTTTTGAGATTTTACCTTAGTACTGAACTGGGATTTTAACCAAAAGTTATAGGGTTTATGTAATTTCTTTATGCATTTAATTTTAGAAATTTAAAGCTAGGCTAATAAATGATGTTACTATAACTGAAGATTGAGGGGAAGCTAGGTGATCATTATTGGGCTTTATCTGTAGTAGTGAGCATACTGAACCGTTCCCACCAAACCAAATTTACACTGTCAAAAACCACAGTTCTATGTGTTCACTAGGAGTTCTACTTTGAACCCAACTAAAAAACAAGAAGAGGGAAGTACGGTCAAGAAGAGAAGCCGAAATTACCTTTATTCACAGATGCTACAACAGTAAACAAAAAGGAGATAAAGTAAGCAGACTACCAAAAAACTTTTCTTTCTCATTTCTGCTCTGGGTAAAATGGCAATTCAAGTCTTAAATATTATTGAAATGCATTCAAATACAAAAATATGTTAAGTAGATTTCTGTAAAGGACTAAGTATTACTGCAAACTACAGATTCTTAAAACAGTTAAGCATTCAACCACTAAGATTATATAATCATATCTGTTTCTTGAGATATACTTGATTATAGTGCCACAGCCCTTTAAATTTCTAATTTAAATATAATATACATCTGCATTTAGAAATCTTATAAACAATTGGAAAGCAAGCACAGAAGCTTTGGGTAGAAAAGGGAGGCTATAAAAGTAGAATAAACTAAAAAAAAAGTACATATAGTTTATTTCCTTAGAGATAAACATAATACATACTTAATAACACTGTATGTTTTGATAGTTCTGATATTTGAGAAGAAGAAATCAGTCAAAACATTCTATGGGTCATTTTGCTAGACATGATGGGAACCTCTTTCATTAAAGTGTGGGAGTGGATACAAGAGTTCCATTACATCAAATAACAAAAGACTGCTGCTGTTGCTGGGTGCCGCTCAGTCAGTTTTGACTCAGTGATACTCAGTACAATGGAACGAAACCCTGAATGGTCTGCACCATGCTCACAATTCATGCTGTGCTTAGCCCACTCTTCATGTACTGTCACTCCATCTTGTTGAGTATCTTCTCTATTTTGCTGACCCTCTACCAACTATGATGTCTGTCTCCAGGGACTGGTCAAAGCAAGATTAGTGGAAGTTGACCAGACAAACATGCTAATTAATTCAGAGAGTTCAAATTTCAGATAGATAGAATGCAGATATTAATTGGGAAAAGTAAGAGACCAGGCAATTATAGAAACAGGGCATCAGCTATCCTTCCATTTGCCATTGCTCCTGTACCATCTGAAGAACTTACTTCTCCTAATCTGAGCACTACTTTATTTTTCTTCTCATAGTTCCTTTCCCCTTAGTGATCTAAGACTCTTCTCTGCATCTGTTCTTTCTTTCATCTGTTTCTTTTTCTGTCCACTTTTACCTAGTACTCTTGAATTATGTTTGACCAATCTAAGCATATTAATGATGGACATTTTGAGTGTACAGTATTATGACAATTTCAGTTTCATTCAGCAAAATATCAGAATACTAAGTGAGTCCCTACTACCATAATAGGTTCTAGAAGTGAAGCCAAAAAAGTCCTCCTTTCAGGGAGCTTACAGTCTACTGTGAGATAAGTACTGTGAAACAACAAACAGAAGTAAAAAGAGCAAGTGGTGATATAGACAAAGAAGAAAAACAGCAGGGCAAGGAGAAAGTAAGTGATGGGAAGATTATTATTTCTGAAAGAGTGGTCAGGGGGAGGTCATTCTGATATCTGGAGATCTAGCAACAGATACTTGAATCAAGGGAGGAAAAGAATCAGCTATCTGGGGGATAAGCAATTAGGCAGAGGAAACAGCCAAATGTAAGCCAGTAAGAAAAAGCACAGAAAACAAGATCAAAAAGGTAGCAAAGACTGAGCTTTCATAGGGCCTTATAGACTCTGATAGGGACTCTGAATTTTATTGAGGAGGATAGAAACCATTTGAAGATTTTGAGCAAAAGGATGTAAATTGACTTACATGTTAAAAAGATCACTCTGCTGCTTGTGAAGAACAGACTGCAGCAGGGCAAGAATGGAAGTTAGATCAGTTATGGGTCTATTGCAATAATCCAGGTCAGAGATGATGTTGGCTTAGACCAGAGTAGCAGAAGTAGAAATGGTTAGAAGCAGCCAGATATTGGATATATTTTGAAGATATATAAAGCCACCTGGATTTGCCAAAAAATTATTTGTGGGTGAGAGACAAAGAGAAGAATCAAGAGTAAAACCAGATTTTTTTGGCTTAAGCCAGAGGAAGAGGAACTTTTCTAAATAACAAATATTTTAAAACTTTAAACACTGAAAGAATATGGTGGGGGGGGGAGAGGGGAGGGGGGGGTGCGGGGAGAAGGGTGCAACAATGAATGAATGGAATTCCAAAATCTCTGTAGATGTTCATTGAAATGAAAAATAAACAAACTAAATAAAAAAAAAAAGAATATGGTGGAAAGGCCACTTTATAAATAATACAGCTAAACAATGTCTTTGTATTTACAAGGACAGGTTTTCTTAAACAGAAATTTTTGTATTTTATGCAGATTTTCTTCCTAATTGACTCAAGATAGTTAAAACCACAAAACATGCTAAATATAGGAAAATGTGCATAGAACTATTTGAGACGTAGCTGTGGTAATATTTGCTGCCTTGAGGTTTTTTTACCTACTCAACTTAGTTCTTGGAAAAAAAAAATCTTACCAACTTGAAGTTAATCTTAATCATTTGTTTCAGTGCTTTAAATCCCCATTCTCCTTTTTCACCTTCAAGTTCCAAAACCTAAAAGGAGGAGACATTTTTAGTTCTTAAATGAATTTTTTTTTTTAGTTCTTAAATGAATTTTACATCATACAAAACACCTGGGGTAAAACCACTAGGGATTTATCGATGACATTATTAGAAAGATAAACTTTAAGACACAGAATTAACAGGAGAAACGAACAAGAACCTTTTGGAAACTGCTTAAGGCTGCTTTTGGGTCATCTTCTTTTAATGCTTTGGAATTATAGTACTGATTTTCCAAGTCCACATTTGGTTCGGAGTTACTATCTTCAGAGTATTCCTGTGTATAGAAAAGAAATTATAATGAAGAAAAAAAATCCACAAAACATCTACAACTCACACTGTAAAAAGTGACAATTTTAAAAATGAAAAAACTATGTATTTATCCAAAACAATCTTAAATGTATAGGAAAAATAAACAAGTGGGTAGTAAAAGAATTTTTCAGATTAAAGCAAGAGTTTCTGTAATTCAACACAAAAGGAAAATGCAAAAACCTCATGTTGGCTAATAATTCTGTGTGGTTAATATTTTTTTGGTTATTGTATTCATCTTTACATATTTATTAAACATTTGTCTTTGTAATAATTATCCCTCTTTAGTCCTGTAATTTCTTTTTCTCTAGTTGCTAAGTCAAATTTCATTATTCTAACATGCTCTGTATACCTGGGAATACAATCAACATATGATACAATCATTTACTGCTAAAAAGATAGTATTTTCCCCCAAATAAGATGTTCAGATATAATGTGAAGAATCACATAGCAGGGACTTTTGTATTTTTAAAAACTCTAATATGCATATTTTTTTGCAGAAAATATAATAACTCTACGCTCTGGCTTACCTGTACTTCACATTACTAAACTGTTAAATTAATACAGATTATCAGCTTTATATCAGATGAAAATAAGTAAAACAAGAGGGATTATGAGATTCATGTAAATTCTAACCGGGAGAAACATTATTGGAACAATAATGCAAAAGGTAAATAAGGAATCAAACAACTATTCTGTGGAGCCCTATGTAAATTAGTTTAAAATAGTTCCAAGATACTAAATCTAATAATGAGGATTAAAAAACACACAGAGATTTTAAAAACTTATTTAAATTTTTAGGAGATGCAAAAGAAAAATTCGTCATTGTAAAGGGTAAGTTTAGGTCTAGTTACAAATGAAAAATAGCCCAAGTAAACACAGAAAGACAAGAATAATATTACATTCATATTTCTAAGTCCACACACAGTAATTTTTTCATAGAGGTATTTATGGAAATTATGTTAGTCTCAAAAGCAGAGACATAAAGGTACACTGGTATAGTTAAGTAGTAGAAAGCTAAAAAACACTAATAGAAGATTAATTTTTTTTTTCCCCTACGAAGTGTAGGAGGGAGTTGTTTAATATCAGCATAAAGCAAGTTTTATCTAGCTAACAGGACAAACTGACAATAGTGGCTTTACAATAGGCGCCCTCTAGAGGCTAATTATTTCCTAGCGTTAAGACAGGAAGCTCTGCGGTGCAGACCGGAGAACTACCACCAGAACTCAGTTATGTTTCACCTTAAATCCCCTTAAGTATGAAACAAAATTCAAAGAGGTAAATAAATTTCATAATCAGTCAATCACCTTTTAACTCTATTTTTACTATAATACAACTGGTCTGACTATAATATAATGGATCTAACTAAAAATTAGTAATGAATTATGCCAATTATACATCTGTGACAGTGATGGCTGCTGAGTTGGGTTTTTAAAATAAGTAGAAGTCAGCTTGCTGGACAAAATGAATACACTCTGTTTACTTGAACAGAAATCTCTAAAAGTACAGGTAGATAAATCACCAATTTATTTATTTCCTCCCTGTCCTATGACACTACTCAAAAAAATGTCATCTCTCAAGAGAATACAACAGCCTCTGTCTTTAAGTTTCAAGGGCCAGTCTTCTAATAGTGAACAGTCAGAACACTGTGAAATGTAAATCATCTCATCATTCTTCTTTTAAAAAATGTCCTTTTGGAATGAAGGCTGAACAGTGGAGTGGGATTGGGGGGAAGGGACTGCATAACAATGAGAGTTTTTCACTTTTCAAGGAGAGGAGTGAATGGGGGATGGGAATGGGCAGGGAGAAAAGTGCAACAATGACTGACTGGAAACCCTAAGCCTCTGTAAACTTCCATTAAAATTAATAAAAAAAAATTTTTTTTAATGCCCTTTTCACTGCTCTTAAAATTAAGGTCAAAGTCACCAAAGTCTAACAATGTGATTCAGCCATATTTCTTTTTGTTCTTTTTAAGGGAAATGATTTTTTTTAATTTTTAAAAAATTAATTTTAATGAACGTTTACAGAGATTTTGGATTTCCATACATTGTTGCATTTTTCTCCCTTCCCACCCGTCTCCCCCCAGTTCTCTCTTCTCTTGAAAAGCAAAAGAAAAATTATTTCATTGGTATAGAATCCTCCCCTTCCAACCTGAGTACACTCCACTATGCAACCTTCATTCTGGACTCTTGTCATTACCATAATATCCAATCATATATCACTTTCAAACAGTTCTCTCCCTCATATGTTTCAATGCAGTATACATAATTTATCCAATTTTTCTCAGTCCCACCCCAACCCTGCTGTCAGTCCCATTCTACAATACTGGCATCATGCAGCACCGGTCCTTTTGTGACTGAGATACTTCACTCAGCATAATGTCCTCTACGGTCACCCATTTTGAATAATACTGCATGAATTCCTTGTTTTTCAGAGCAGCATGGTATTCCATGAGTGAATATACCACATGGGTACTTAGGTGGTTTCCAACTCTTTGCTATTGTGAACAAAGCTACAATAAACATGGGTGTGCGTATATCTGCTTGTGTGGCAGTTATGGTCTCTTTGGGGTATATTCCCAGTAGTGGAACTGTTGGGTCAAATGGTATCTCTATTTACAATTTTTTGAGAAAGTGCCACACCACCTTCCACAGTGGTTGCACCATTTTACACTTCCACCAACAGTGAAAAAGGGCTCCAGTTTCTCCATAACCTCTCCAGCATTTGTTGCTTGCTGTTCTGTTAAATTTGGCTATTCTTACTGGGATGAAATATCTCATAGTTGTTTTGATTTGCAGCTCTCTCAGAGCTAGGGATTTTGAACATTTCTTCATGTATTCTGAATGTCTTCTTTGGTGAAGTGTCTTGTTCATATCCTGTGCCCATTTTTCAACTGGGTTATTTCCCTTTATCTAGCTTTTATTTCTATACTGTAGATTTTGTAGCTAAAAAGAAAAAAAAAATCACAGTGATGGAGAAAAGACTTCCACTGTTATATATATGAATGAGTGAAAAACTGGCTTGTTTTAACTCTTAAGTTGTTTATATCGTTCTTGCAGATTTGAGGCATGCTAGACCCAAATCTGTAAATACCCAACTGTCTTAAAGACAAACAAAACTGTCAAACTAGCGATTCCTAGACATTTGGAAATTGTTTGCTTTGCTTACCTATAGAATTGCAGCCAGTATCTGATCTTAAAAAATTGAAAAAATTGACTGCCTTTGGGATGGCAATGCAATTAGTTACCCATTAGTCTACAGATTGAAAAAACAAAACAAAAACACAGCAACAACCTGCATTATGGACACCAAGATGCTGCTACCATTGGAACTCTTTGACTTAGGACACTGACATACACACACCCTCCCCCTGGCCAATGAGATTTCCTTCATTCTGTTCCACTTCTGGCTTCTCGGAGCAGTTTTCTCTGGAAGAACTCTTGCTGTGGAGTCAACTCTGCCACTGCCAAACAAAGCAGCAGGCCCCAACAGTATACTGTGCACCTGCTGTATCATTTCTTTCCCGTTAATCAGCCCTGAATTCTCTCAAACTCACTAGTTTCTGAATTTAGTGAAAACTTGTATATTTGATTTCACTGAAACTGTCCTTGTTGAGGTTTCATCAATTTTACGTCTTAACACCAAGTCTTACCACTTTACCACTGCTTGTTATACTAGAAAAATTTTTGAGTTTTCCCTTCTCTGGCAGTTTTCTGGCTTTTGTGGGTTTTACTGTAAGGCTTTTTGGTTTTTCTTATGATAGGGATTAAGAAATGGACTATAACACAAGTGAAAAATCATAAAAATGGCCAAAGTCAATAGATTGGTAAAAAAAACCAAACACACACCTTTTCCCACCTTTTGAGCCCTGAAGTGAACTTACTCCTTTCACAATTTTTGGCCAATGTGGTTGTTGTTATATACCACATCAAGTCAACTACAACTCACTGAGACCCTGTGAACAACAGATTTTAACCTTAAACTATCCTGCACGATCCCCATGCTCTCCACCATGCTTAAGCCCACTGTTACAGTCAATGCATCAATCCAATTTGACTGAGGATCTTCTCTCTTCTACTGACCCTCTCCCTTTCTCAAACTGCCTTCTTCTGACAACACGTCCAAAGTCTGTGAGACTGCGAATTAACAGCATGCAGGTGGTACTCAGTCCTCAGAACAATTAACCACACAAGACCAAAAGGGCAGCCTTTACCCAGGGACAAAATCTGAGAAGGTAAAGGAGGAGGAGAGAAGAATGTACCGAAATAAGAACCATATATAAGAGGCTAATTGAGTGCTGTTATAATGTGGAGACTGTAATCAATGTCATAACACAAAATGTACATAAATAGTATATTAGAATTCTTTGAGCTTTCATTCAAATTACCAAAAAAATCTCCAAAGAAATGGATTATAAATATATTTTGCAAAATTTTAATTATACTTTTAAGCAGCTATTATTGCTAAAATGTATAAATAAGCAAGAATTTGCACAACTCTTGTGTTACCGATTTGCTTGTTTTGAACAAGTTCCCTTTTATGAAATCACATGTTTAATGTTTTTTTAAAAAAAACATTAAACGTTTTTATCATTTAAACCAGATTTTCTGACATCTCCAACTTGTCACTGGCTGCTCAGAGAACCACACCATTCCCACACGCCATGAACCACAAAAAGCTAGTGTTATTACACTGACATAACTTTTTAAAATCAATGTATTTGTATTCTACTATAGCTTACTTATGTGTTTGCTAGCCTATCATCCGTTCTAATAAAACAGATCAAGACAGAGTAGGAAGAAGGACAGTCCATCCACTTCTGAAATTGCAAACCTTCGAAAACCATTTGAACAACAGAACACACTTGGACTATTATATATATATCATTGGAGATTAAGCTTTCATATTGGGAAACAAACAAAAAGACTATTATAATGACAAAAAGCCCCTACTACTATTCAAATACAC